CACACATACCACATATACTACACACATACATACAGTGATTTAAATATTAGCATAAATATATAGAAAATTGTTTAATTGGATTTTTTTAATACTTTTTAAAATGATATTTTTATATAATCTGATAAATATATATCCTGTAATTATTTATTGATACATTTTTTTCTATTAGTATTTTTTTTTATCAATATATTTATCAAATTGTAGTACAAAAGCTGAATGTTTAGAAAATATTTAATTCCTGCTTTTTATGATTTCAGTTGATCCTGCATGCTGTGCACTGTGTACCAACGTACTGTCTATCCGCAACACCTGCACCGTACTTTTTTGTTATTTTTGCCAAATATCACATTCATAATAAAAATATAAAAAAAACATGGCTGCCTATATCAATCGTACAATGGTACAACCAACCATGATTGGAGGGGACAGCCAACTTCGATCAGATATTAGAACAGATAATTCTCCTCTACAGATCTTTGTTAAAGCAAAGAAAAGGATAAATGATATATTTGTGGATATAGAAAAATATGTGGAAGAAACTGTGGAATTTATGACATGTAAGTAAAAACAGAAAAAAATTATATATGTGTATGTGTGTGTATATGTGTATCGTAATGTATTAATTTATATAATTGGATTTGTACTTTTATAATAAGCGTTACAAAATGATCGAGATATTGTAACGGCGGAAGAAGCAATAAAAGTTAAAGCTTACATAGACAAAGTACGAGGCATAAAAGATGTTCTTAAAAGAGACCACATGAAAGTTGCTTTTTTTGGCAGGTAAGCAAATTGTATATTGAATAATATTTCCATTTATATCATTGTAACTATAATAATTTATTTTATAAGTATTTTTTTATTTTTATTATAAAATGTCTTTCAATTACTTGAAATTGTTTCTTGTAAATTAGAATGCTATAAATGAGATTGACAAATAAATGAGATTTTTTTGAGTATAAGTTTAGACATACATAAATTTAATAAATTGATTAGATTATTGTGCAGAACTTGTGCATAAATTTGAAACTATTTTAGCATTTTTTTTCTATTTTGCATTAAATTATTTTGCATTATGTAATATTTCACAACAAAGCATTATTGTGTAATTTTTTTACTTTTTTATATTAAAATTAAAATTCACAAATTTTTGCTATGCTAATTATACTTTTTATTTATTATGTTTTATAAAAGATTAGTAATTCTAATTTATTTTTTATTTAAAAAAATCGTTATATAAATTAATGCATTATAGAATATCTATGTATAAAAAAAATATAATTTAATTTGTATTATAGGACAAGTAATGGGAAAAGTACTGTAATTAATGCCATGTTACGTGATAAAATTTTACCAAGCGGTATAGGACATACTACAAACTGTTTCCTACAAGTTGAAGGTTCAGATAATGGAGAATCATATCTTATTACGGAAGGATCCACTGAAAAACAACCAGTTCAATCTGTTGGACAATTAGGTCATGCTCTTTGCAAAGAAAAATTAAGTGAAAATCATTTAGTAAGAATATTTTGGCCAAAAGAAAAATGTTTATTATTACGAGATGATGTAGTGTTTGTCGATAGTCCAGGCGTAGATGTAACTCCAAATCTTGATGAATGGATCGATAAGCACTGCTTGGATGCGGATGTTTTTGTTTTAGTAGCAAATGCTGAATCTACTTTAATGGTTACTGTAAGTATAATATCCATTTATAAAGAATATAATATGTACAAAGTAATCTATTAACTATATAATTTGCAAATTCAAGAAAAATATTTTGGACAAAAATTTATATCTACTCAATATATTTGATGAGCTATTTTTACAAAATTTAATTTTAGTTTTTTAAAAAAATTAAAGAATTTATAGTATTTTTGATATATAAACTACATAATTAAATATTTTTTTCTAAAGATCAATGCACATGTTTTATACTAATATAAGTAAATCTCAATTGTTATTATTTTTTTTTTTGGAAAAAAAATTTCTTTCATAAAGTTTCAACAAGATTATCAAAACCAAATATATTTATTTTAAATAATCGATGGGATGCCTCGGCCTCTGAACCGGAATTTTTTGATCAAGTATGTATTTTAAAAGTTCTAATTATAAAAAAATTAAATGTCTTTTGTAAGCTACTATAATAGCTATATATAATATGCTTTATGCAGAATTTATTGATGTTTATTTGATATAACAAAATTATAAAATAATGATTAATACTGATGATTGATTAATGATAATATTTTAAATATTAAATAAATATATTTTATTATGACATTGAATTTTTTATAAAATTTATTATTGAATCATATTTAATAAATGAGATATTTTTAATTAGCTAAATCAAAATATTTACTATTTTAAAAAGTATAGCAAATCTTTATTTTTTAATCGTTTATAATAATTTTATATAATAAATTATTGTTATTTAATTATTAATAATCTTTTTTAATTAAATTTCTATTGAAATTAATATAATATATATTAATATAGTTAATATAATAGTATTAATAAATATAAATTAGTATTTGTTGAGAACATATTATATGTTTATTAGAACATGTAAAATTAGCTTATTATCAAAATATAGTAAATATCGGGTTATAAAATATTTATATATATTATAAAATAAAAGCATAATTTGCAAAAACTAGGAAATATCTATCAATCTATAATATATATTGAATAATTTGATAAATATATTTGAAGGAAATGTTACTTTGAACTTTTTTGTATATACTAAAAATTGTAATATATATGTTATTTTATACATATCTTCTTAATTTTATAATTAACAATATTTCTATCAGAAATTAGAAGTTTTAATAAGATCATAATCAAAATGAATTTCAGTAGTATTCTTTATTCTTTAGCTGGTCAAAGAACAAAAAGAGGTAAGTTTATTTATCATGAATGTTGTATTCATCTGCAAATTATATATATTAAGTCTACCTTAAACAATTTATAATATTTATTATAATTTGCAAATTATTATAATTTGCAGTATATTTTAGGATAGAATACTATTTAGAATATTATGCCGTATATTTTAATATATATATGCATATGTACTTTAATGTATATTTTATATATATTTATATTCTTATTTGTTCGTTTGTATTTTACGGCATATAAAGTTGTAAATAGAATTCTAACCTCTATTTTCCAAGGTAGACTTTATATGCTATAATGAGATATTTATATATCACAAGTATTTTATTTGATTGTGTTTTTTATTTATTTTTTGTTAATATGGAAAATAAAAATGCTAAACATTTAATGCAAGACGTTTAAAACTTTTAAGCTTTATATGTAATTAAAAAAAATGGAAAATATATGCATTATTTATATTTCAAATATGTTTATTTTTAAATGCAATAATTATTACACTAAATAAATGTAAATGTTTTGCACCAAGTTGTACAGCATGAATTATAAAGCTAGCAAAAAACTAAAATCTTAGCATCTTATAATGAGCTAAAAACTTTTGAGAATTATAAAGATAATGTAAAAGAAAATGTTTTTTCTAATTGTTATTTGCATTAATAGCAAATAAGCAAATGCTTAACAACATCGCGATTAAATTTTAATACAAATTTCATTTTTTATGTACTTTTTATGTGTAGGTGAGAGCACAACATCAAGAACGTGCTATTGACTTTTTATCAAGGGAGTTAAAAGTTTATAGTCCAAAAGATGCTGAGGAACGTGTCTTTTTTATTTCTGCAAAAGAAACTCTTCAAGCTCGTATGCAAGAACAACGTGGGCAACCTGCTCATAGTAATGTATCCCAAGTTTATTGCTTATATTGTCTTAATTTTAAAATCATTATTAAAATAAACTAACTTATTGTCAATATATTCAGATGGTGCGCTGGCAGAAGGTTTCCAAAATCGATATTTTGAATTTCAAGATTTTGAAAGAAAATTTGAAGAATGTATTTCAAAATCTGCAGTAAAAACTAAATTTGAACAACATTCTCAACGTGGGAAACATATTGCAACGTAAGAAAAGAAAATTATGTATATTCTATATAATTTTTTTCACTTTTTTCCTTTTAATTAGGAGAAGGAAAGAAAAAAAATACTTTTCAGTTATTTATATTTACAAAAATTGATTACTTTTGTTTTATTACAGTGAAATACGTCAAGCATTAGATGAAATATTAAACCGAACACAACAAATGCGAAGTGAACAATTAAACATCAAGAAAGAAGTTAATGACAGGTTGAATTTCACAGAACAACAGTTGATGTTGTTAACTCAAGAAATGAAGGATAAAATTCATCATATGGTTGAAGATGTAGAACAAAGGGTTTCTAAAGCTTTAAATGATGAAATTCGACGATTAGCTGTTCTAATAGATGAATTTAGTGTTCCATTTCATCCTGAACCACTTGTTTTAAATGTATATAAACGAGAACTTCATACACACGTAGAAAATGGCTTAGGTGAATTTTTTATGAATTATATATTTTGTGATTTAATATGATTGTGTTATCCGAGAAGCTTAATAAAACATTTTATGCTCTATTTTTCAGGATCAAATTTACGAGCCAGACTCAGTACTGCTTTAGCATTAAACATAGAAAATTCTCAGCGAGAAATGACCGAAAGAATGTCCAGTTTACTGCCCGAAAACAAACGACAAATGTCATTTAATATTTTACCACGACGAGAACCATTTGAAATACTATATCGATTAAATTGCGATAATTTATGCGCAGACTTCCATGAGGATCTCGAATTTCGTTTTTCTTGGGGTTTTACAGCGATAATTAACAGATTCGCAGGAAAACAAAGTCATAGAATAGCTATTGCTAATTATCCGCAAGAGGTAAAATATTTTGATCAATTTTGAGTTAATTTTTCTTTTAAGAAAATATGGTAGCATTCGACTTTTGAATTATAAGTTTGTATATTTTATAAGAAAAAAGCATATAAGAAAAGTATATAAGAAAAAAGAATATAAAGATAATTATATTTCTTACAGATTCCACCATCTATTACATCACCTGCAGATAGTGTAGATTCTCTTAGATTTGTTTCAAATACATCAAATTTTCCATCAAAGTCTGACGATTGGTCTTTAGCTACCCGTATAGCAGTTGCTTCTATAACATCACAGGGTACAATGGGTGGTCTTATTATTGCTGGTTTTGTACGTATATTATTTATCTATAATATGTGAATGTTAATGTGCATGCATGTAAAAAAAAATAAAATTCTATATTTGAATTTTTCTTCTAGATGTTAAAAACAGTAGGTTGGAGGTTAATTGCTGTAACTGGTGCTATATATGGTGCTTTATATCTTTATGAACGTCTAACATGGACTAATAAAGCAAAAGAACGTGAATTTAAACGACAATATGTTGCACATGCTACCAAGAAGCTACGATTGATCGTAGATCTTACTTCCGCAAATTGCAGTCATCAAGTACAACAGTAAGTTAAATTTATATATTGCAATATATACAATAATGTAGCTCTATGTAAAAAATAATTTTCTTAAATTCCTATCATTTTATTTTTAAATCAATTGATATTTTAAACTGAAACATATTGTTATGATAGAGCTTTAATTTCTTATAATTTATCTATTTTTTTCTTCTTTTTTTTTTCCTTTTTCTTTTTCTAAAAATTTTGTTCTTTGTTCGTAAGTATTATCTAAAATTTCTTATT